CCATATTTCAGAACACTTGCAGACTGGATATAGTTCCGATGAACTACCATACATCGGGCCAGAAAATCAATCACCTACAACGTCCACGGATTTCTGTCGAATGGAAAGAAGCACTCGGCCATCAACAAAGTCACAAAAAAACTCAAGAATCAAGCTTCGAAGGTCTCAGTCGCTTTTGGGTGGTAATAGCCGATGCGACAGGTACTCCGACGATTACAATCATTTAGATTTTCATAAAAAGTTCAAGTCACCCAAAAAATTTGATAATCAAAACTACAGCAAGTTAAAAATAATGGCACCACATCGATGCGCAAATACCAACCATGAGGGCTTTGAAGAAGAAAGTAGCTATGTTTCCCTTGATCTAGAGGACAATTTGTTAGTTTCAGTGTCAAACTCATTGCAAATACGACAGGAAGATGTGGATAAACAAAAGGAACCTGACTGTATTAAAAGTGAAAATGAAAGCAGATGTAATGAAAATCAAGATGATACAGACCTACCAACATACTGCAATGTAGATGAAACTTTTTCTGACACTAGTAGTAGTAAGAATGGCATACAGAGTGATTCACCTGATTTTATAGATTGTGAAATGGACTTAAATATTAAATTCTGATATACAAATATTAGATTTTTTACAGAGATGTACATGTTTGCTAAAAACAGGAAATACTTCAATAGTAAATACAGGATTTGTACATTGTTGTTGAAGCAAATGTATTAAAAATATGAAATTGAATAATAAAATATGAAATATTGGAATACATGGATTATTGAGTTGAAAGAATTGAAATTTTACAACATTAACGATATAGAAAGTTAGGGATATTTTTTTTCTTTACTTTTGATTTGAATAGTTCCGCAAAAATATTGCCCTAATATTATATTAGTAAAATACAGTATGTCACTCAAGAAGCCATTATTTCTTTATGATCACTGGAGGAAACACTTTTCCCGATGATTTCAAAATAGTTTATCTCGCAAAACCTTACTTTGTGAAAAGCAGAGTAAGGATATCGAATAAGAAAATAATGCGCAATCCTCTAAATATCGTTATTTTAGACTGTTAAGAGATCGGATACGATCATGCTTGATCTGCACTGGATACACGAAGCAACAGAAATAAAGAGTCGGGTAACATCCTAATCCACCCATTCTATCGACCACTGGTTTATTCTGTGAGGAATTACTGAGGGATCATCAATGATCGTAGGGGACTATTGTTCGTGGATTTCATGGGTTACCTTCATCCACGAATTAAATTCCCAACGAACAATTGTTAATTATTTTGTCAATATAATTATTCATTAAATTTTCTTAATATTCCCAGTTTCCCATAAATTTACGTCCCTACGAACCAACAAAAATTTGCTAACCCTCAAACATTGAACACCACTAATTAAAATGATTCCTCAGTAGTAACTTTTATTATAAAAACTAACCTGTTTTTGAAGATTCAAAAAATAGATGCGCTTACGTGAACATTGCTCAATGGAACATATCACGTTTTGTGAACTCCTCTACCATTTTTTTCTTAGAATCCAATTCATGCTGTTAAATTAGGTTAGGTTTGACCTAGATATTTCAATTTAAGTTTCTCAATTCTGATTTTCAGTCTGAGGGCGATCATTGGTCGAAAAACCACTTTTGTTCATTCGTAGAAAAACATGTATTGAAGTATTAAAAGTCAATTAAAAAATTTCAAGGGAAATGAGGATGTTTTTATATATGTGATGAAGATCTAATTTTTCTTCCCATAAGGCAAAATTTTACCAAAAAGTTGTTCATGCTTTATTTGTCCATTGTATGGTAGATGTCCGTAAAAATACTTATGACTAAGTGTTCTTTTCTACAATCCCATCATATCTAAAATAACACATTGTGGACTTGAAAGATCTCCTTCATCATTTATGTGTTCTTTGAAAACGGTACTGGTATGCCGTACTTAGTTTCGATCGGTATTCTCGCCATATACAATTGGAGCACTTACGAGGGCTGTTCAATAAATAATGCCCTGAACTCTGTGACATACATCATAAAAATCATATGACATTAAACTTGACTTTCTCTCATGATTGAAATTTTAATGAATTGATAAAAGTTTATGTGACCACTTTTCATCACATAGTTTCATTGTGAGAGGCTGGAAAAGAAGGGCTATTCGAGACCCTGCATTAAAAATGAATGGTAGAAAATCATTAAAATAGTGAAACGGAAATGGTTGTTGTTTAGTTACGTATAAAACATTAGACCTATGTTTTTGTTTAATTTTTAAAGCATTAAAAAATATTAATTTCACGATCATACAGGTAGTTCGAGTCTGCTGCAATGGCTGTTTGATGCGTACAAAGCGTGTGTTTGTCTGTGCTTGTCGCTCTCAGCACCACCCCTGGCTAACAGTTTGCTGTGAAAAGGAAGCAAAATATGTAAATCTTCCCTGCCAGGTACAGCCTCTTCACAGTTAGACCTATGTGGCCCAGATGTGGGATTCTCCAGGTAGCAGATGGAAACTGGGTACCTTGCGGCCCCAAGCAAAACCACAAGGTCTTGGAAGAGACTAGGCCCCTAAATGCATATGGCATGCACGGCCCACTGGTGTGTGGATATGTCCTGATGCCTACAATCCTAGTCCCCGATTATGGGTTGATAGCAATAAACCGCTGCCTTGTGGTTACCTTGGGGAGTAGGAAAGGCTAAGGAGTAAACCCTACAGAAATCCGCCCTGGTAAGGGCGTTAGCTTGGTAAGGCAGTTACCTAGGAGAATATAAACTCTAATTTAAAACTCACAGACAGATCTAGTCTCGTCAGCCATGGAAGCCATGATCTATTGGAAGGAAACCATAAACAAATTACTCTGGTCCTCCAGGTTGGGGGTTGGGCAAGGGAGTAATCTCCCCTTCCTTTAAAATTATAGCTATCACGGAAACAAGACTTGCCCTATGTGAGACCTCTCTGGTGACGGAGTTTAAAATAAACCTTAGCTCGTTTCTTCTCTTACACACGGCTGTAAGACCTGAATAAGGCAGACAGTTGCAGGGTAAAGACAGCTAAGTGTTTCATACTAACTAATACACGTAGGACCTGAATAAGGCAGTTACTTGGTTTAGGAGAGAGGTGGCATACCACAGATAAAAGTGGGAAAGGTGCAAGGAGACAGTACTTTTGTAGTGGAAGGAAAAGAAGAAATTTGCTTGCGGGAAAACCACAGTTAGTGGTTGTCCAATCAAGAAGAATTCCATTGTTTTCTTATATTATGATTGTACATATTAAATATTTGGTTAACAAAAATCTGAGTAAACAGGTTAACGGACCTAAGTGTAATGCCTGGGTGAAACATGTACAAGACATACAGTGTCGCCACACATGACGCTCGCATTGTACGTTACAGTAGAGTGAAATTAAACGCTTCATAAAAGCTGCTGCAAAACCTTTTACGAATCCAAAGAAATATTCACTGATATATTTGAAATTTTTAGCAACCAATGTCTGTTTAATAGACACTTGAGCAGATGGAGTTCAATGAACAAATACGATATATTGGGCAAACAAAAATGGGTACCTCCTTGGCGAAAAGGACTTACAACAGCCAATGTACTGTTTGCCAAGATTCAACAAATTACTACTGATAAAGTTTGATTGACTTCATAACACATAGCAAATTTTATAGGCATCATTTTTGGCGTAGTTCACATTGTTTTAAAGAAACATTTGACACTAAAAAGGCTTGGTACTCAATGGTCACCCTATGTATTGAAAAATGAGTGAGAACTACAGCGTGTAAGAATATCTAAAAAATTATCCTAAAAAACAGAAATTGTAGTTTTCCACCTTTATCTGAAATTCAAACAGATGTTGAACTAGAATCCATTGCTTTAACCCCCCTCCCCAAATTAACAATAAGAGTTACTTGACAAGCACAGCAATTGTCTGAGAAGAGCAAAATTTAGCAAGAGCACAAAGAAGTTTTATATGTCATTTTCTTAAATATTAGTGATCTTGCTGTTCAAATTGATATTTTCGGAGACAGTTCAATTTCTGGAGAGTCAGGAAAGCAAACTTTTTGCAAAAAATTGAAAGGTTTACGGGAGGAATGACCCAGAATCAAGAATCCACTATATTAAATTTCTTTATGACAGCGTCCGGAACCACACGCCCTGAAGAGTAAAGAACTTTGGGGGATACACAGAACGTTAATGTTTTGTCAAACCAACAAAATTCACCAAATCTTTCACCTTTTGACTTGTTTCATTTTTCAAACTTGAAAAAAAAAACCTTTCAGATAGAAGAAACAAGTCCAGGAAATCATACCATCTGCCATATTCCATTATACGTAGGGTCATACGCAAAAATGTGTTCTAAAAAACAATCAGAAATTGGATAAAAATGTTCCGGGCATATGTTTTAATCAAGGGAGAATACTAGTATTTAAGTGAAATCATGAAGACTAAATCATTTAAAAGCGTCTTTTGTTTTTTTCTGAGCATCGAGAACATTATTTATTGAGCAGCGCTAGTAAAGCTTGACTATTAACCTGAGTAAGAAGTACACGGCCTGCACGACCGGTCGGCAGAGAATGCTTAATCCTCCGTGGCACGTGATCCCACTTCTGATGTTTTGATGGTCCGTGTTTGCTCGGCTCCCATTTTGTAATGTTTAATGGACCATTATGCTTGAATACTGTTCGTTATTTCCACATATTTCATTGTTTCATTTTGCAACGTTTTAACCATTAATGAGAGAAAACATTTGTCAGGAGAACTGAAATGTTTATAAAGATGTTGTTGTTTATTTTCTTTTTTATTTGAAACCAATATGTTTTTTTTTCGGCGTAACAGAAAAATGACTATTTACTTGATTATATCTTATTCTACATGTAGTTCCAGGAAAAATTTAACAAATTTTTAAAAACATTGTTTTATTCTATGACCATATTAAATAAATGGAAACGGAAATTTATACATATCACAAGGAAATGAGCTCCAATGTCTGTGTGAACTGCATGTGTATTACGACAGAATCAGGATGGCTTTCTTATGCAGATATTTATTAGGTGTCGTAATGTTAAGTTTCCAAGCACAGTTAATAAAAAGAAAGTTCTGCGGAGACACGTAAGTAACAGCAATATTCTTATGAATTGATTTTTATGTTGAAGCTTTGTTCAATATTTGTATGTTATCGACATTTTACTAGGGTAGTCCGTCGGATGCACAAGTTCCTGATTATATTCTATAATATATTCTAGAATATGTTACTGCTGAATGACAATTACAATGTGCTTGTTTTCTACATGCTCACAACAATGTGCCAATGGACTTTACACACCATATGTAACAAACAAATTTCTATTATTTAATTTTCGATTTTTTTCCGAGATTCACAACAACATGTCTTCCAAAACCGAAAAAAATATTATATCATATTATTTAAAAAAAACTCTACACTTAGTCTACCGCGCGATATAAACTACACAAGACAGACCTCTTTTTTAAATAAATGTGAAAAAATTAAGTCAAGAGAAAAGGCGATTCTGCAATTTGTGTATAAAGAATTCTTTATTTTAAAACAAACAAACTTCCTGATTCCCTTAATGGTCAACGTACAGTGATAAATTATGATATGTACAATGATGTAATCAGGTCTTCACCTGTTACACAATTTGAATTGCATGAATTGAAATTAGAAGATGATACCGATTGTCATTTCTTTGGATTTCATTAAAATTTTTGTTACTACTCGTTTATCTCTATTGAGTCTAAAAGAGAAAAAAATCACATGAATACGGTATAGTTTTACGATTTATATCAATACAGTATTTTAGCTGGTATTATTTTACTTTGATACTGAACAATCCTTTTTAAAGTAAAAAAAAAGGCAAGATCCAATTTGTGCTTTCCGTTCATGTTTACCATGTTTTCAAGGACATAAATTTCCTCAATTTTATTTCATTTTTCATGCTCTTAACTCAATTAGAGATTTTTTTTAAATCTACGAATAATTGAAATAGAATGATAAACTTCAACTAATTTGTTCTATAATATTTAAAATTTATTTCATTTTTCTAGAAATGAAGGGATAGAGAGATGCTGTACAGATTACAAATATGTACCCGGTACTTGTGAACGTACGTTATATTTATATCAGTGTATCATGTTTACCACAAATACATTGTACTACAGCAACTTGTTTATGGTGATAATAAGAATTTTATTTAATACATGAAGAAATTTGCCAAGAAAAGAAACTGTTAAGTTAGAAAAAAAGAACCTCTTAGACCTTAAAGATAATTTGCAGTTTACTATTATCCATGTGAATGGGTACCTTGATATGTTTCCGGTATCATGTCTAACGTGCCTGAATAAAAGAAGAAAGAGAAAAGTAGAGTTAGAAAGTAAAAAATGCATTGGAAAACAGATATTTTTGGTCAAAGGGGATTTTAAAATTGGCCAAAACAAGGCACTCTATTGACAAACAAGTTGATAAAACAAAAATATCAACAATCTTGTTTGACGACATCATTTTGCAAGTTTTCCAGATCATGACAAGGAGCACACGGCGGGTGTGACCGGTCGCCAAGGGATGTTTACTCCTAAATGGTACATGATCCCACCTCTGATGTTTTGGAGGTCCGTGTTTGTTCTGTACCTATTTGATATTGTTTTATGGACATTGATATTTCATACTGTTCGTAATCTCCATATCCTTCATGGATATGATGACCTTGTCAGCAAATTAATTTCATCGTTAGGTCAAATGTTGGCAGACGTTTGTAAGGCCATTATCTACAGATGGAACTGCTGAAAACATCTTCGCTAGCCAAGGGTTTCTGATACGCTACTCTCCTCATAAACCCTTGGCATACGGTGAAGTCAAAAGACGGGATTGTTTTCCGTCACGTGATCTCGAATCTATCGAGATAGGCACAGATTGCGTCATCGCCAGAAATAAAGACACGTGTTTAAAAAAGATAAAATCAAGTTTTTTTCAAGAATGATTAAGAAGCAATAATTGAGTTATGTTTATTTATGCAATGTAGTACAAATCTGAAGCTTCAATATAGATTCTTAATCACATATTTAGAAGATATTGGATGACACCATAGCTATTCATAGAATTGCATGTTATCTTACGGATCGTTGTTTACTTGCGTTTTTCATTTCCGAGATTAAAGAGTCAAGAAGTTTCCCGAACGCAAATATCGTCATTTACAAAAGACAATTGCTGATTGGTCGACCGGGTGTACTGAATCCCAATCAGAACTGGAGAAAAAAAAACCCAATTTCTATCAACACCGTATGCCAAGGGTTCATAAGGAGAGTAGAGTATCAGAAACCCTTGGCTAGCGAAGATGTGCTGAAAAATGTTCCGTTACTTTTCTATCATTAAAAGGAGCACACAGCGGGTGTGACCAATCGACATATGTTTCATTGAAAGTAATTAATAATATTACAATAATATATATACAATATTGGTTATTCAATGCTATTAATAAGCGTCAGTAAATTTTATGCTTATTTGCTTTCATTTTATAGCATGCTATGGATCGTTTGGTATAGATTGTGTCAATCCTTGTTCAGATGGGTTCTATGGTCACGGATGTAAGATGAAATGTAATTGTTCGAGCTTTGAACTGTGTGACCGGGTTATTGGATGCGTTGGTATGGCTTTTGATCTGAAAATCTTTTATCTGGATTGACAGTCTTACTGAATTTTTAAAAAAATATCATGGATACCTGGTATTTGATAAAATATATTTTTCATAATTCCTCATTTTTATTTCTCCATTGTCTTCTCCATTACTTTTTAGGAAAGACAAGGTACATGTAGTCCAGTAGGTAGGGCACTCAATTGCTTCCTGATTGGAAAGCTGTTGGTTTGCACATCTCTTACTACAAGCTACGAAAGGTAGCAAGTTTTCCTTCGCCAAACGCTCGGGACTCTGGAGGGATAATTGCGAGTCTTTTGCATGAGACCTTAAAAAGCGAGCCCACTTTTTGTAGGAGGTGTTGCATAGTAAAGATTCGTCTCTATTCGTGTGCCTGAATGCCGGGAAAATGTCTAAATTTAAGCCCTTCGTGAGCGAAAAAAAATTGAAAGGGATATAAAACTATACTCAATTAATAAAAATCCATTGTAGAAATTTAGACACTTGAACGAAAAACTGAAAATCTGAGCTGAACGTAAAAAAACTTTTAAAAAACTCATAAAGACTTAATATTAGAATTTTTTTATATGGTACAGGATAAGGTTTAAAGCGAATGGGGTATCTATATTCATTGAGTTATTAATTCAAAATTTAATCATGATTTTCCAAGTTCAAAGATATTTTTCGTTTATAACTCTAATCGTTTTTCAATCTTTAGAGCTGATGATTCAAACGTTAAAATGTGCTGTCCAAACTCAAAATTTATAACTTTTTAATTTTTGCTTTACTTTTTCTGGGGATTACTTTTCAAACTCTCACCATCGCGTTTTGTCAACTTAATAACAATTAACAATTCCTGTCAATGAGATAGGAATATCATCAGATCAAAACGTTCGCTAACTAATTGAATAACCCCCCAAAAAACAATTAATTTCTAAATTTCTGCCACCGTTCTGCCCAGGCGTGAATCACGTGACCAGGCAGTCATGTGACATGCTTTGTTGCATTCTGTTCACAGAAGCAAAAAAAAACCCTTTAACTTTGCAAGTAATTATTAAAACCAGAGCATTCTTTCTGTCAAATATGAATAGATAAGGATATCCTTTCATGGTGAACACCACAAACCGAGTCATCTGTCTTAGGAACGTCATTTATTCAATATCGATATAGAATGGGAACCTTCTTTTAATCATATTTGTTATGTTTAAAGTCTTAAGTAAACGGTATTTTAGGGATTTATGATTATATAATTGTTAAGATATTCAAGTTCAAGATATTCAAGATGTAAGTTTATTATTTGTACACTGATTTGATGACAGTTTTTCCGTTATTTCCTGAACATGACAAAGAGAACACGGCATGATTGACCGGTCGGCAGGGAATGCGTACTCCTCCATGGCATCTGATCCCACCTCTGATGTTTTGGAAGTCCGTGTTTGCGCTGCTCCTATTTTGTATTGTTTTATAGACTTTTGATCTTGAATGCTGTTCGTTATCGTTTGTCTTTATAAACCTCGTACAAATTTTTATATGCTACTGAAAAATAAATCCAAGTTATATTTTAAACATTACAGCCGCTCCTTGTTCGAGTTAGACTGCGTCAACCCTGCTTTGTCACAAGCCATCTACATACTGACATAATGTTTACATTGTGACGTCACAATCATGAAGAAAAACATTACTAATCATTTCTATCAATAGACTATGTGTATGACTATATGTTTGCCAAATTCCATTCTAATCTGAAATGTGGTTTTGTAAATAGTGACAGTCGCTTGGCGAAGAGACAGTCATTGTCTATGTTTATGTCTTAGGTTTTGACAACAATCAATCCTAGGCTCTCCGATCACGAAGCAAAGCAAAGTCTTCAGTGACAGGACTCCAAACCAATTAAATCTACCCTGATATTGAGTACATATCGGTACAAGGTAATAAAATGTTGGACATTATTACTGAGTATTTATTTTTCTCTCTTTATTTTACAGAGAACAGTAACATCATTTGTAAAAGCAAGTGAGTATTTAAATTCCTATCATATGTTATTCTAAAGAAATATCCGTTTACCCAACATAAAGGTAGCGATATTTTTAAAATTAATTTGTGGTAGAGTAAAATGTGTTTCTTAACTACCTAATGTTTGGTCTAATATGATATTGTATGTTTCATCCTAATTATATATAATCAAAACAATATTTAGTGTTGCCTAATTTCATGCCTTCTCTCTCTCTCTCTCTCTCTCTGATGTATTCTTGATGTATTCTAGAAAACGAAAGAAAGAAATATGAAACATATTATGTGTTTCCATTGTAGCAAAAAATTGCAAAATATATTAAGGCTTGTACATTTTCAAAGACACAAGTCGTTTTTCCCCTACATTTTTATACATAGAGGACATTAGCTAGAGGTTCCAGGTTACAGTGGATAAGTCATCAGTATCTAAAGCTGTAATACAAAGTATTTTTGATTTAGTGTTACTGCAGAGGATGAATGTTGTAGAGATTATTATAGAAATGGTCCGGAGTCATGCGAACGTAAGTATTTGTTCTTAAATTTAAATCCTGTTTCGGCAATAAATCACTATAATGAGATTTATCTTTAAAAAGTTTTTTATCCAATTTAATTTACAGCTTGTATCGGATCCAGAGGATACAACTGTTCTATACCTTGTGAGTTTGGATTCTTTGGACACGGTTGTCGTGAGAAGTGTAACTGCACTAGCGATACTCATTGGTGTGATGCCGAAGTTGGATGTATACAAAAAAATGGTATAAAAACAAATGTTTTAATTACTAGTATGTTTTAAAAGAGAAATCAAATTGCTTTCTTGTTAATCTTATTTATGTTACGTGAAATCTTGATAATGGAAACATGTATGCTGATATGATATCGATATCTTGTATGTAACTTGCAAGTAAATGTAATATAATATGTAATTCTGTCAGTATTACATTTTCTCTGTAACCATATACAGACACATGTTTCCTCGTCATTTAAATTTTTACTATCATGCAGTGTATTGTCTGCTGATGCACAAATATTGGCGGTATGTCGTGATCGTATTTGCAGCTTAACTAATTACAAACACACACGAACACTGATATTTTTATTTGTTTTAATCGCTAGTTTTAAAACAACAAGGGTATCATTCATTAAATAATATAAATTGAACTAGATACGATCTCGTTGCGAGCAACGAGAGGTCTTCCGTCCGATATCGAAAAAAAACCCCGTAAAATCTAGCTGAAAATATTGCACTCAAGTTGCCAGTATGAAAATCCAACGCGCTAAATATTACGTACGCTATTGGAACCTCTGCTCTTAATCTACTTGTATATACCTCTGTATAACAGTGCTTTTGTCTTAAAATTATAAAAGGCTAGTCACTATTCATAATTTCGCGCCAAACGCCACGAGTTAATCTTTTCTTTGGAATGTTCTAATTAATAGGTTTGATAGCCTCAATGAAATAAAAAAAACTTTAATATCGCCTAAAATTTGATGATTAGAAATTATATTAACACATTTCACAAACTCCATATAGTATGTAAGCAAGTAACACTAAAATAGTGTAACGTCTATGAATTTTAACTTTTTTGTTTAAATTCATGTTTATTGCCAAAGTCAACTATCCTGATTAGTTAAACATTCATGAAGAGATTGAAATGTTTCGCGAAAAAAAAGGCTCGCCTTACGAAGGTCAAGGAATTGGATACGGTTTGTGCTCAATTACTTGATTAAGATCTTTGAGACAATAATGTTAATATAAAATCCTATAAGCAGTCTTCTAAAAAATATGGTTATCTTATTTTGTCTTTTCTGTTTGTTTAATATGGCACAAGTGTGCATGGGGAAAACAGTGAGTAAGTTTTATACTTGCTGTATTCATTGATATTCTTTTTTGAAAAACTATAACTTATAACAATGATTAAAGATCTGCTTTTCCGTGGTGCAGTCAGAAGATATTAAGTATCGAATTTCATTTGCACATTTAGTTTTTTTCTTTTTCTACTTTGAGAACCAGCCAAAACCAATTATAGAAGACGTTTAAGAAGAACTTACTTTGACACAGAATTGCAACGTAACTACGACGTGACATTCCAAGTATTCCTTTATATTTCATTTGTCCCATGTTACTTTCGTTCAAGCAATCGTTCGACTGCCTCCGTAAACCCCTATTGCGAAATGTCGGAGTTGACAGAGAGAGCTAGCCGCCATTTTGGACCAGCTTCAGATTTTTAAATGCTTATATCCAGAGTTTAGATATATCAATATTCAAACAAATTATATAGAAAGCATTATAAGAAAAGTTTCTATTAACATATTAAAAATAAATGAAAAATATTGAAAACAAAAAAAGTTGAAAAACTGGACTTTTTAAATTGGATTCCGGTAGCGACTGGAAGTAATGACGACAAACGAAACGTCGCGTCCTGGAAAGTATTTATCATCATCTATAATCTCTGAAAGTTTCACATTGAAATCTTCTACTGTTCTTGAGAAAATCCGTGGACAAAATGTCATTTTAAAAATCAGAAAAAGGTCCATAACTTGGCACCGGAAACGAATTTCCAAAAAAATCTCTCAGATGTATCAAATCCATTTAACAACACATCTGTCCTGAAAATTTCATGTAATTCCATGCAGTAGTCTTCGAGAAATCGCGTCAGAATAATAATAATAATAATAATAATAATAATAATAACTAGATACGATCTCGTTGCGAGCAACGAGAGGTCTTTCGTCCATTTTAGGAAAAGAAACCCACGTAAAATCGAGCTGAAAAGAGATTCAAAATTTTGATCACAAGGAGGATTGAACCCATTTCGCCAACGTGAATGCGCTTTTTTTTTTTACTTTTTTATCCACATCGCGCTGACCATTAAGCTATTGAGAGTACTCTAAGTATACTTGTGTATACTTTTGCAACAGTTCACCTGTCTAAGAATTATAAAAAGCATTCATAATTTTGCGCCAAACGCCACGAGTAAATATTCGCGCCTTTTCTTTGGACTGATCTATTAAATAGGTATGATAGCTTCAATTAAATTTTAAAAATAAAACATTCTTAGCGCCTTTATTTTATTTCGACGTTAAGAAAGTATATGTAACACATTATACACATTACATATATCGTATCTAGCCCAGTTACACTAAAACAGTGAAACGGAAATTAAGTTTTAAGATTGACACTGAATTGCAACGTACAATACAGGCAACGCGGATCCCGTATTAGACCGCGTCCCCTCCGCGGTGTATTAATCCTTTCCGCGTTACACCGTCGCGGGTTTTGATCGCGGTGCTACCTGAGACCGTGTTTACACCGCGGCGGGGCCCGCTACCGTTATTCTTCAGCTTAGATGTTCTTACCTGTAAAGTATTGTCGATTTTTAATCGTGTCGAAATGAGGGGGGGGGGGGAGGATTACGACCACATTAATATTAATAGATTTATACCATTGCATGGATTCTTTAAAAATTCATTTTTAAGTTTTATCAAATTGTTTAATAAAGAACATCTTTCTTTTTTTTTTTTTACCAATGGTCACTCAAAATTAATTAATTCTCAATAACGTCTGTTAACAGTAATACATGTACAGTATAGGATGAAATAGAGTCGAATAATTTATCGAATATATTAACTTAAAGTTTATTTTCAAAATCAATAATGCCACCCCAAATGATCTTCAAATTGCTAAAAAGGTATAATTAAAATTTAAAGAATGTTATGATATCGCTTCTCTTTATATGCACTGTAATCCGCTGTTCGTAATTAGCCCGTGCAGTTGCAGTTACATGTAGCTATGTGTTTATTTATCTGCGAGATTATATCAATCATTTGGTGTCATTTAGAAAAGTACCGTTACTTCTGTATACATGTCTGTTATAAATAATAGCATGAAAAACGATGATAGATAGTGATACATAATTACAATTAAATTTTAACAAAACACGCGTAAGTGTAGGAATACCGTTGCTCCATTATTATGCGCTACACTGTAACACTATGAACTAAATATCGACCTTTTTTTTTGGGGGGGGGGTTCTTGTTAATAAAATAATCACAGGTATTTCTATTCAGAATATCAATAATATCATAGCTAGTATTTGAATGTATTTCTATTTTCTGCTCTTTTCGAAAATTACTAAAATCATGTTTATGAACATAAACAAATTTCAGATTTCTCCGGTTCAAATAAAACACAAACACAAATATGGGCCCTTAAAATATTTGAACACACAACACAGAAATTAACTTATTTTAATCAGCAAGTTGCCATGCTTCAAGTTTTCCGTGTAACCGTTCGGTTTTCCTCAGGTAAGTTTGGTGTGGAGTGGAGCTTACTCGAAGCGGATGAGAAGCCCCGAGGGAACGACGCTGTCTAGTGTACATACTACCTATATACACAGGATGTTACCTGAGTGTATTACCTGTATGTGTTTTCCTACGACATTGTAAAACGAAGCCGTTTTTTTTTTCATGTGTAGCTCATGAATTGATATGCAAGAAATAAAGAATTTTCGTTGCAGACAGAATCCTTTTTAAATTTTTTGTTTCAAATAAATATTTTCAAGAATTCGACAATTTTAATATACTGTGTTTTTCTTAATCAAATTTTATAGCAAAAATACATTTTATTTTACCACCAAAATCTGTCGTTGTAATCTGGCGACAAAAAGGGAAGTAATTCAAATTACATGTCATGTACATATGCTAAACGAAAGAAGAAAGTGGATCATAAACAAGACAATAAAACTTAGACAAATTCGACAAATGGTCAATAAACTGATAAATCAGCGGTAGTTTTATTCGCTAAACTTAAGAAATTGATATACTGATCAAAAAGGAGGAAAAACGAACATGCACGTGCCTTAATACTGTGATATTTTTTTTTCTCTCTATCTCCTCTCTCTCTCTCTTTCAATCTTCTAACTGGTACAGATATAAACAGACACGAAATAACATAGTAATGGATCATTATTTGATTTAATTGATATCAAATACTTCATTAATTTGTTTTAAAAGTTTTTTTTTTTTTTTACTTTTATTCTTTTTATACACTCCGTTTAAAAAAAAGCAACAATAATTTGACACAAATTCCAAGGCTAATATCGCATCTGAAAATGATATCGATGAAATAATAATGAAACAATGAATCAAATGTGTTGTTGAATGGCTAGACAACGACGTGCACATCCAGCAAGCGTTACCCAAGGTATACTATAAGACAGGTGTGAAACCCCCAGCGCATATCGTTTCCTGCTCAGGCACTGCTAATCCCTATACACAGGAAATGATCGCGGCTAATACTTAATACACAAAGAAAAAGAATTTGTCAAAGAAAACAAAAATAATATGAATTTTTGCATTGAATATTTATTAATATAAACTATAATTTCGTCTGTGAAGTTTATCATTACACCTGCACATCCTATCTTATCTATTGAACACGAAAATCGAGAAATATTAAAATTAAAAAGAAAGACATTGTATTAAAAAGTAAAACATGTTAATGTGAAGGTGAAAAACGATATTTTTTCTTGATCTCTTGTATAAAGTTCACGTGCTCAAAGTTAACTCTCGTCATCGAATGCTTTCCGGTCATTTGACAATTTGAGAAAAATGCCTGCACATTTATATAAAAGAAGGAAATACAATAAAGAAAATTAATTAATTAAATTAACTTAATTTGGGAACAGAACATAAACGATGAGAAATAAAGAAGAATAGAACTTTCTCTTGATATCTTGGATAAAGAAAATTTAAGTTCACGTGCCCACTACATGTAACTGCAAATGCTCGTCATCGGATGTTTTCCGGTAATTTGACACTTTAAGAAAAAGCCTGTACATTTTATATACA